ATGAAAACACATACAGAATCACATGTCCAACACAAATGAAGATTGAAATAATACTCCTATAGAGAGAAATATTGTTATTCAAACTTTTTTTCAAACACACCGCGGAAATATATATCGTCGAGACAGGAAATCGTAATCGCGAATGTTTCACCTTATTTGAGCGCAATTTTGAATCGATGGCCATTTTATTGAAATTCATAGGTAATGTCGGACCTGAGTCGGGAGGTGGCATACGTCATTTGTCAAACATGATATGTATCGTCAGTAAAGCGCCATTTTGAATTGGAGCTATTTTGAATCGGTAGCCATTTTGATTGAAATTCGTAGGTTATGTCGAAATTAAATATCTGTTTTGACGAGGTTAATGGTACCGGAAGTATATGTATATAGTATGCATTGACTGCGCTGAATATGGGCGTTTGTTATCGGTGAAGCAATAACTAATAGGCTAACCATATCACATGATATCTGTTGAGCGCCATTTTGAATCGATAGCAATTTTGATTAAAATTCGTAGGTTGTGTATCGACCCTGAGTGTTTCTTCCGACAAGCACGGAAGGTCACACGGCATACGTCATCTGTCAAACATCATACGTATCGTCAGTTGAGTGCCAGTTTGAATCGATAGCCATGCATTTTGGTTTAAATCCGTAGGTTATGTCGACCCTGAGTGTCTGCTTTCAACAAGCACCGTTGTTTACATACATTTCATTGCAAGCACCAGAAGGTCATGTGGTATACGTCATCTGTCAAACATCATACGTATCGTTATTTGAGCGCCATTCTGAACCGCTAGCCATCGTCGTTCTGGAAGGTCACGCGGTATACGTCAGTTGTTGAATGCCATACGGCAAACGTCATCTGAACCAGAGCGTATAAATGAGCATCGGAAGCATCATTAACGGCTTATATTTATCATATGTGAGTTCTGTCGAATGTCATATGTCATACGTTAGCTGTAATCTACCAAATGTAATAATATATGTTAATCATGAGACACCCTGTATATTCTCAATGTTTTTCTCTGAAACAGGTTTTTCGGATCCACCCTGTATATCATACTTCATCTTCTTATTGTTGTAGCGAATACCTCCCCTCCACTGCGACCCCAGATGGGTCTATTGTGGCTCACCCCTAGAGGTTACTGTTCACCGTTCGATCCACATCTTTTTACAAAGTTCATGGTTGAATTGGGTGAGATTTGTCTGAAATCGATAGGTTCTAAATTGGTAAAGCCAAATGTGTCGAACCTTAGTCTTTCTAAGCTAGAGCATGAACATAATATGTGTTCAGCCGTTTCGTCTTCCACACAACAGAACCGTAAGTCCGTTTGTTGGTTCAGACCCATCCTTACCAGGTGGTATCTTAGACGACAGGGAGTAAGCAGTCCAGTCAGAATTCGCAGGTTACTCCTGCTCCATTCTAGGATCTGCCTGGTTATTTTTTTCGATGGTTTAGGCAGGAACTCCTTCGAATGGGTTAATCCTGGCAATTCAGACCAGTACGTGAGTGTTTTTCCCTCCACCCAACAAGAGATAGTTGTTTTCGCCGCACTTGCGGTGACCCCAAAATATGGTTCTGGTCCTATGAACACGACAGATTCGGTTCCCTGTTTGGCGAGGATGTCGGCTTTCTCGTTACCCTCCACCCCCTGGTGTCCAGGCACCCACAGCAAAGTGACTCTGTTGTTAGCACCCAGGCATTCTAGGGATTCAATACAGCTCCATACAAGCTTGGAATTTATCTTGCTGGAGCTCAGTGCTTTAAGAGCAGCCTGACTGTCTGATACAATACTGATATTTTTGTTTACTAGAGGTTTATTCGACAACTCTCTAGTACACAATTCAATTGCGAATACCTCCGCCTGAAAGATTGTAGCATATTTGCCGAGATTGACGGAAATTTCCGTCTTCGGTTTTCTGCTGAACACACCGGCTCCAACTCCAAGAGGGGTTTTCGAACCATCTGTGTACATTACGTGTTCGGTCTCTGGGAATTGGACTGATCCTCTTGCCCATTCGTCTCTCTTCGGGAAGAGGACTTTCAAAGACTTTTTCACGTGTGTCTGAGTGGCCAACATGTCGGGAACCATTCCTAGAGTTTGGTGATTTTTTGTTTCAGATTGCGGTTAGTGGGCGTGGCCTCCAACCAAATGCTGGCTTCCGATTGGCTAGCAGTCACGTGGTTTAGATAAATTCTCTTTCAAATGGAACACTCTGTATATTTATTGCATCTTCAGATTCTTCCTGAAGAGCTGATTCCTTCAATGTAGTCGCATTAAAAAAAAGCGTACAAGTATATTACAGAGAGAAATTAATGTTGACAGTAAAGTTGTCATAGGTTCTCGAAAACACAATGCATTGGCTGAGCCAGTTTTACACAACTAGAGCTAGAGGATCCCGAAATCCTCTCTTTTTAATACTTGTACGCTTTTTTATTGAATACGACTGTACCACACTTGGGCTCTAGCGGGAATTTCGTTCTAAAATTGTTCTTATCCATCATTCGGTTGCCCCCTTAATTAGACTTGTGCGAGCAAGGAATGACGGGGGGTCTTACCTTTTAACGTGTGATCGAGCCCTAACATGTTCTCAGGCCATCAGAAAAAATTTTCTGCGGTCGTGGTGGGAATCGAACCCACTACCGGTAGCTTATTTACGTTCCCTATACAGCTAGCGCGATAAGTCGCTCTCACAGCATAATCATTGGAGTCATACTGGAGCACTCCGTTTCCTAGCTGAAATGCGCCATACAGGGTGGCCCATCGGAAACGTACCGCAAGGCATTACAGGCTGGGAAAGAACTTCTTATGTCGAAGGGATGTCCCTGGAATATTCTTGGGACGTCCTAGGGATATCCTTCCTTCGTACTTGGTACCTACATCCCAGAGACGTACCAGAACTTGGATGTCCTTTTTGTCTGAAATCGGATGTCCCTGGGACATCCCTAGTATGTACTTTGTCCCGCAAAGGATATCCTTGGGAAGTCCTAGTATAGAATTAGGGGCGTCCCTGGGAAGTCCCTAGGATTAACTTATTGCGTTGTTAGGTTTTTGGCCTCCTTCAGATATGTTCGGAGACTGTGGGTGTTTTTTATATCGCTTGGAGCGCACGAAAGGAAATCCCTATAATATTCAAAGAACATCGTGCGTTCCTAGGGAGGATAGGGACAGGAGGTAGGTATTGGAATTTTTTTAACTACTGGAGATTATATGTTGTTGGGAATACTTCCTCAGGCAATGAATTCCAGAGCCTAGCCGTTCTATGGATGAAGGAGTTTTGATAACGTGCTGCTCGACATCTTTCAAGGTTGACAACGAAAGGATGTGCTGACTGGACTTGTCTAGTTCGCCTGACTGGTATTGCTAGTGAAGGGATGATAGCAAAGATTTCCGAAGAACATTTCCCGTGGAATTATCAATAGAAAAGTGAAAGGTCGCCGACCTTTCTACGGTGTTCCAATGATGTCAAAGAGTGAATGAGTGTGGCGTCACCCACCAGGCGGATGGCTCTTCTCTGGATGCAATCTAAGAGCATCAGCGTATGTTTTGACGCTGAACCCCATATGTGGGAACAGTATTCTAGAACAGGCCGTATCTGCGCTTTGTAGATCATGAGAAGCTGTTGAGGTGTAAGTAGCTTTTCGCACGGAACAAGAATCCGAGTTTTTGTGAAGCAGCTTTTGCGATGGATCCGACATGAGTATCCCATGAAAGAGTGTTGCTGATGGAAATACCGAGCATAGATATGGTGGGCTTGGTGGGGATGGTGGTGCCAGAAATTACAATATCGGGCATACTGAGTTCCGCATTTCTAGAGAAAATACAGGCTTGAGTTTTGGTGGCGTTGAATTCAAAGAGGTTGTTGGTTCCCCAGGCTGTGATTTCAGCATGGTCTTCATTGACAGCATTGACCTGCCTGCGCTGTGAGTTCTTAGTTTCCTGGGAAGAAATGGGAATTCTGGATGAGAACGCAGTATGGAGGGTACTATCATCTGCAAAGCTGTGGATGGGGCAAGTTGTTACTCCCAACAGATCATTGATATGAAGAAAGAATAATGTTGGTGCCAAAATTGATCCTTGTGGAACACCGGAATTGATGCCAATGGTATCAGACGATACACCGTCCACCACCACGTGAAGCGATCTGCCTGAAAAAAAACTCGATAAGAGATGGCATAGCTGAGGTGGTAAGCCGTATGATGGTAGTTTGTGGAGGAGTCCTTCGTGCCAAACACGGTCGAATGCTTTCGATATGTCCAACGCGACAGCTAGACATTCCCCGTGTTTTTCTATTGAAGATTGCCATAAATGGGTGATGTAGGCAAGTAGATCTCCAGTAGATCTTCGGTGGCGAAAGCCGTATTGTCTATCATTGATGATTCCTGAGCACTCCAGATATTTGATAAGCTCAATATTGATGGCTTTCTCCATGACTTTGGAGATTACTGATAACAGGGCAATGGGCCTGTAGTTGTTGGGCAGGTTCTTGTTCCCTTTTTTGGGGATTGGTTGGACTCTAGCTGTCTTCCAGCATGATGGAAAAATACCCGACCTGTACGAGATGGTAAACAACTTGCAGAGAATCGGTGTTAATTCTGGTGCACATTTTTTGAGGATAATGGGTGGAATTCCATCAGGACCGTTAGCCTTATTCGTTTTGAGACCAAGCAAAATTCGTCTGATAGTGCGTTGACGGAAGACGATTTCGGGCATTCGACTCTCAACGGGTGGAATGTCTGGCGGCAGTTTTCCTTGGGAATCTAAAGTAGAGTTTGCTGCGAACATCTCTGCAAAAATATTCGCTTTCTCCTGCGATGTTGTTGCTAATGTGCCGTCGGATTTGGACAGTGATGGAAATGAACAATATTACTTAAGAAAATATGACGGTATTTATCTATAAATCAACATGAACTATACGTATAAAAATATTTCAGACGATGCAACGTTGCCGCTTCTACTACGCAACTTTGACTCTTCAAACTTCCGTTTCATTTCCAGATGCGACAGTACAACGAAAAAGTGCTCCGACTCCATATCAAACAACAACTTGCAAATGGTGTGCGAGAAGATATTCTTGGGCTGGAGGCTGTCCAACACGGTGATAGTCCCAGGGCTGCTCATGTCCCAGCACACCCCCTCCGATTTGGCGGCCATTTTGCGGCAGTGCGCCAACCCCGAGGGGGTGGAGGGAAAAGCGAGGGCGGTGCCGGAAAATGACGTGGGAAAGAGGCTTTTCAATGTGCTCACCGAGATGGAGCAGGCGGTCAACAACGATTTCTTCATGAATGAATGAAATGCCAAGAATGAACGTACAGGGTGATTCACCATAAATGTCCCCCCCCCCTCTAGCTCAGTTATGTTCGAACCGATTTCAAAATTTGAAATATTATCTCAAATGATTTTCGATCAAGTTTTTATCCTCTACATCAGAAAATACAGGGTGCTCGGAACAAACGATCTACAGGGTACCTACTATTTGATTTTTTTAAATGGAACACCCTATTTCTCATTGTATTTTTAGATTCTCCCTGAAGATATGATTTGATCAATGTATCACACTTGGGGTCTAGCGGAAATGATTACAGAGATATTGGGTATATCGAAGACTGGAACCTTTGGCACGATAATACACTACACTGTTTTACCACTAACCAAACCGATCTTTTAACGCCTCGACACGTGTTTCGCTAACTATGTTAGCATCTTCAGGAGAAGATTAAAACTAAATATCCTATTCTATTGTGCTGCTTATTTACTAGGTATATGTTCACCCAACTCTGAAAAATACTAACCGTCAAGTTAATGTTTGTCATGGTTGAGTTCACATGTTAATCTTAATTTTTATTTCACTAAACTATATAGTGGGCTATATGGAATAGGTCCATTATCCTTATTCATTACTCTATTACTATTCTTAAATATCTCCAAGCTTTCATATGCGTCTAGTTTTCTAATGTTATTAACTTGCTTAACTAATTTGAGGTTAGTAATATGTGTGTTATGATTGTGATTGAACATATGTTCGGCTACACAAGATTTATCTAACCTGCCATATTTTAAATGGGCTATGTGCTTTGAACCTTGTTTTTATGGGTCGCCTGGTTTGGCCTATATATGTTTTATCACAAGCATTACAACTTATTTCGTATATTCCCGACTTTTCAAGTGTGTCCACTTTATCTTTCGGATTGCCTAATAAATTGCCTAATTTTGACCTAGACTGATAAACGCTTTCAAAACCTAAGTCTTTGAAAACCTTATCAAGACCCTTCGTATACTTGGGATTGAACGGGATTGGGATTCTTCTAGAGTTCTTTTTATCCACTTGAAAAGTCGTAGAATTTCGAAGTGTTAACTTAAATTTATGTCTACGTATTAATTTATCTACTATTTTGGTATCATACCCATTGACGCCAGCCACTTCATAAACAACACCTCTTTCAGCATTGAATCTTTCTTTGCTCAGAGGAAATGAAATCAATCTGTGTACTAGAAAATTTAAACTTGCCATTTTGTGCTGAAAACAGTGATTGGAGTCATTAGGTATGTATCTAAATGTGTTAGTTTCTTTTCTAAAGACATCAAATTCTAAGTTGTTTTCGCTATTTTTGATCACAAGTACATCTAAGAATGGTAATTTGCCATGATTTTCGCATTCATAAGTGAATTTGATAGAGGGGAAGCAGTTATTCAATTTTGAAATAAAGTTATCTATATCTGTGGTTTTTGTATCAAAAATCATATCTAATCCAAACCCTAGGGAAATACTCGAATTTTTCTTTTGCATTCGCTTCAAATCGATTCATGAACAGTTAACTTGACGGTTAGTATTTTTCACAGTTGGGTGAACATATACCTAGTATATAAGCAGCACACTAGAATAGGATATTTAGTTTTAATCTTCTCCTGAAGATGCTAACATAGTTAGCGAAATACGTGTCGAGGCGTTAAAAAATCGGTTTGGTTAGTGGTAAAACAGTGTAGTGTGAGATATTGGGTGTTCGAAATCGAAATTTCTCAACTATAGGATTTTTTTGTGACGAAACTATCCATTATCGGTCAAAACGGCTTCCATGTCCTCATCTTGACTCTTGATTTACTATCTGACATTTAATTGGAACATTTACAGGGTCGTTCAAGATTCAGAATTCTGATCAGCCTGTATTTATTCCAATTGTTAAATGTCAGTAAATAGTAAATCAAAAAATGAAATACGGACATGAAAGCCGTTTTGACCAATAATGAATAGTTTCGACACAAAAAGAATCCTAAAGTTTAAAAATCTCGATTTTGAACACCCTATATCTCTGTAATCATTTCCACTAGACCCCAAGTGTGATGTATTGATGAAATCAGCTCTTCAGGATGAATCTAAAATGCAATGAGATACAGGGTGTTCCATTTGAAAAAATTTAAGAAGTACTCTGTAGATCGTTCGTTCCGAGCACCCTGTATTTTCTGATGCAACGGGAAAAAAATTCTGAAAAATCATTTCAGATTATTCTTCAAATTTTCGAATCGGTTCAAAAATGAGTGAGCTAAAGGGGGGATATTCATGGTGAATCACCCTGTACCTACAGGGAGACAATTTGTAAACGAGAAGCGCTCAATATTTCTTTGACTAATGGCCATATACGTATTAATAAACAATACGGATCATAACGGGTGCCAGGATGAAGCCAAAAATATGAAACAAATGAATATCCATAAGGATTTGGTGGCATGATACGCATGCGCCATGCGCTATTATAGTAGTCATCAAAGACATGCGTTTCGGTGGACAATGACGTTTACTAGCCTTTCAATCAAAGCAGTATGTGTCTGATCGTATCTCACTTTTCCTTATGGATAGTCATTTGTCTTCAAAATCGGCTTTATGTTTCGCTATGGAAACAGATAGAGATTATCCGTATTGATTATTAATACGTATATGCTAATGACAATGAAAATTTGGTGGAACACGTCACTATGCAGGGTGTATCTGAATAACACCGAAAAAATTCAAGGAGTTTCCTTGTGATATTCTTGCAAATAAAGTTCATATGAACCTGTGTCCTAACTTACTCTGTTGAAGTTGGAAGTATTAATTGTTTTTATTTATAGACCCCCTGTATAAGCTTTCATGGTGCCAGAATTCAATATGGATGGATGAGATGCCTGGAACATTCAGGTATTATCAACAATATAGCTTCCGCCATCAGTGATCAACTGGTGACCTGCTCTCTTACGTCTCACATATACAGTGTGCCCCACTTACCATGCTCACCATGGGTATCTTTTAAACGGTGAGAGATACGAGGTCGGTTAAATGACACCAAATGTGGAGTTTGTCAAGGCCAACTATAATGTGAAAAAATATTTTGATAAAATCTATTCGTTTTTGTTTTATACGCAAAAAACAGATTTTGATCATTTTCATGTCTCCTCCGTAACTTCTTTATTTATGAAAATATTCAAATAAGAATTTCACATCCTCATGGCAGTTTTTCAAAGTGATTTCGAAAAAAATATTAAATTTATACCAACTCTTCTAGAATTTGAGATATCAGCACCAACTTCAGTTTTTCAAATGTAGGTCATAGCTCACTATGACTTAGTTACAAATAACTTTTTTTTCTCTTACAGATGATATGTCGCAGTAATAGTTTTGTTGTCATAACAACGGAGTTATTGTCATTTATACAAAAATAAAAAATTATTTGGAAGCCGCCATCTTGAATTTATAAATTATAACAAAAAAATCATGATCTGCGACCTCAAAAACCCCCACTTACCAATTTTGAATGGAATCGGACCAAATCTGGTCCGCCATCTTGGAGCAGTCATTTTTTTTTATTTCAACAAAAATTCCATAACTCCGATTAACTTGAAATTTTGCTGGTGTTCATAATTTCGGTGACAATACATTATGGAATTTTTGTTGAAATTTAAAAAAATGGCTGCTCCAAGATGGCGGACAAGATTTGGTCCGATTCCATTCAAAATTGGTAAGTGGGGGTTTTTGAGGTCGGAGATCATGATTTTTTTGTTAAAATTTATAAATTCAAGATGGCGGCTTCCAAATAATTTTTTGTTTTTGTATATAAATGACGATAACTCCGTTGTTACATATCATCTGAAAGAGAAAAAAAAGTTATTTGTAACTAAGTCATAGTGAGCTATGACCTACATTTGAAAAACTGAAGTTGGTGCTGATATCTCAAATTTTGGAAGAGTTGGTATAAATTTCATATTTTTTTCGAAATCACTTTGAAAAACTGCCATGAGGATGTGAAATTCTTATTTGAATATTTTCATAAATAAAGAAGTTACGGAGGAGATATGAAAATGATCAAAATCTGTTTTTTGCGTATAAAACAAAAACGAATAGATTTCATCAAAATATTTTTTCACATTATAGTTGGCCTTGACAAACTCCACATTTGGTGTCATTTAACCGACTTCGTATCTCTCACCGTTAAAAAGATACCCATGGTGAGCATGGTAAGTAGGACACACTGTATGGCAGCAATTTATTGAAAAATATAGTGAAACCTCAGCCGTGGCACTTGATATCTCCAAGGCATTCGATCGAGTCTGGCACCACGGAGTCCTCGCCAAGCTTCCATCTTATGGCTTGCCTCCCCAACTATATTCTCTGCTAGATAGAGTTCCATCTGACTCTTTTATCATAAATGCTGGTGTTCCGCAAGGATCAATTCTAACACCAACACTATTTCTACTCCATATCAACGATTTGTTGGAAGCATGTCCAGTACACTTCTTCGTGGATGATAGTACCCTCCATACCGCATTTTCTTCCAGGGCTCCAATACCAGCCAGGCAAATAAGAAACGAATGAGGAAGAAATGTTGACAACATAAATATGAACTTGGCAACAATTCTCGAATGGGGATCCAATAACTTGGTAGATTTCAATGCAAACAAAACACTATCATGCCTTTTCTCTAGAAAAGCCGATTTCACTGTGCCCAACATGAGCTTGTCAGGAGTAACCATACCTTTGAAGACATCCATTTTGATGCTTGGTATTACTATCAGCAATAACCTTTCTTGGGAAAATCACGTGAGATCAATTGCTGAAAGTGCATCCCAAAAACTTGGTTTTCTGTTTCGGGCCAGGAGCTATTTCACTTTCAGTCAGCTGCTTATGATCTATAAGGCACAGATCCGACCTATCCTGGAATACTGTTCCCATATTTGGAGTGCAGCACCCAAACATACACTGAAACTGTTGGATTCTGTACAAAAAAGGGCAATTCGTCTCGTGGGTGATGCCTCGCTCACAAACTCACTCACTTCTCTGGAACACCGTAGAAAAGTTGGCGATCTGGCTCTATTCTATAGATATTCTCATGGACGATGCTCTTATGAAATATCAACAATTGTTCCTCCCTTGGCAGTCCCCGCGAGATTAACCCGTCGAGTTAAGACTTCGCGAGGCTCTGGAACAAATTGTCAAGGAAGGTGTTCCTCGAGGCATATAACCTCCAGAAATTCAAGAAGAACACCAATTCCTACTTTATTTCTCTTGGTTCTCACGATGTTCTCTGATCATTACAGGATATCCCTTTTCGTGGGAACCAGAACATAAAAAAAAATCAATCCATCAATTTGTTTATGCCATTTGAGCTTGCAATCTGAGTGAATTCCCAAATACTTTGTTGTTGTGGTTTTGGTTTTTTTTTCTCAAAAACGGCAGTACTTAACCTCGCGAATTTTTGGAATGTGATTTATTTTATGAAAGTAGTCACATACAGGGTATGTTACAATAACGAGCTTACACTATCTTTATATCCAGAATCACTCGAGAGAAATCCATGAAAATGTGCATGCTTATATTTTAGAATACGCTCTCTTCATTCGGAATAGTTTCAGCAATGCAGTGTTGCCGCTTCTACTAGAAAGTAGTAGCAACATTGATATTTCGAATGGAACACCCTGTTTCTTATCGCATCTTTAGATTCTTCCTGAAGAGCTGATTTTATCGATGTATCACACTCGGGGTCTATCGAAAAAGATTACAGAGATATAGGGTGTTCAAAATCGAGATTTTTCGACTTTAGGATTTTTTTGTGTCGAAACTATTCATTATCATTATCATAATCTGGTAATCCTGCCATTTTGAGAAAAAAAAATTTCAAAATATGTACATAACTTATCTGAGATAACTTAATAGTAAATTGCATAGTGTCATCAGTTGAAGAAATATTGAGTGCTTCTCATTTTCAAATTGTCACCCTGAATCTATAGGGCTCTCCGATGAAGAGACCCACCCCTATATTTACCTTATTTCTTATCATGAAAAAAAAAACAACGGAAGTTGAATACCGCATTAATGCAATTATCAGAAGTTTGACAGGGCGATCCTTTAATGACAATGCCATTGAACATGATGTAGAGTTCCTCTCAATGAATATGTCAACCTTATTATGATTTGTCGAACAACTCTTTATCAAAACTTATGTGAAGAACCTTCAAAAGCTCAACAAGAAGTCAATACATTTACTTTCTCTAACTATATACGTTATGTACGGCGCTACATAGTAAAACTGAATCACACCTATTCGAAGTTTGTTGTTTTCGTTTGATAAAAAACGCCGTGTTTTTCCTAAGACATCCAGAATATAAAAATATACTGAAATGTAAGTAAACTATCAACACAATAAAATGTAAGTATTTGTTTTTGGAAAAATTCACTCATGCCTGAAAAGATAAAAACAAGAGAGAACGTCGTTTTGTTTATGAATTCTAAACTGTTGAACTCTGAACTGAAAATGTTGGTGGATATAAATATAAACAAAAAATGCATGTCAATGACATTTTCGACATCAACCATGAATATTTTGTATCTGGAATACATAATAAAATGAAACATATACATTTTAAAATTTGTAAAGCAAGAACTTTGAGAAATATAATGATGACTACTAAAATGTGCCTTTGATTATCAATTTCAGCCAGATTTTTTCTTAATCATCGCCAAGTTGGATGAACTATATTTTTAGAATAGAAAGTGACACTTTCTTGCATAATTGCAATATTCATCATTCATATCAGCTATTTAAAAAAGTGCATGCAATAAATTCCCAACCCTTAAATCAGAAACTGTCATGTTTAATAATGATAATTTCATTCAAATGCTCTCAGAACATTTTTGAAAACTGTGGGAAAACGGTCTTTGAGTTATGGGAAAAACGAAGGAAAAGAGTATATTCAAGATGCGATTTTGTTTATTTCAATGTGCTATTTAATTTTTCAGTCTGAAGCCATATACCGAGTATTCCTTTGTTACTGAAATTTTGACATGAAATATGAACACCCTGGGGTTCCTGTAGAGTTGTTTTCATTTACGAGAATAGGTATACAGATAAGTGCACAAAAATGGCCAGGATTGTAACTTTTGAATTATTCTTGATAGGGTTTTGAGAATTGGTGGGTAGAGTCCGACCACGTTAACTTTGGGACAGCATGTGACGCAACGCATATGCATATTCAATGCATACGCGACCACGTGCTGTCCCAAAGTTATCGTGGTCGGACTCTAGCAAGTATACCAAATTGCTCATTAATTGATGATACAATTTTTCTTCTATCACTTCCAGTTTCACTGGAATCGACCCCAACTTTTGATTTTTAAATGTATTGTATTCCATAATCGGTTAGGGATTATCATGACGAATTCAACGATACCGGGTTTGATAGGGCTATTACAAACGATTACAAAGATATTTGCGTTCGAAGTTTCCATGCTCAATGGGTGTGACTTCGCAATATCAAAACTTCTTTCTCTGTCACACTCATTGAGCATATGAAAACTTAGAACGCGAATATCTGCGTATTCGTTTCAAATAACCCTATCAAACCCGGTATCGATGAATTCGTGATGACAATTCCTAAGCGATTATGGAATTCAATACAGGGAGTCTCATTTAAAACTCAAAAGTTGGGGTCGCTTCCAGTAAAACCCGGAAGTGATAGAACAAAAATTGTTCCGTCAATTATTGAGCAATTTGGTATACTACCTGTCCACCAATTTTCAAAGCCCTATCTCGAATATTTCGAAAGTTACAGTCCTGGCCGTTTTTTGTGCACTTCTCTGTGTGCCCGTTATATTTATTTTCAAGAAAAACCAAGAATAAAATATCGTTTTAAAATTTTATGTCTAAAAACAGAATAACAATAGCCGCGTGATTAAAAATCAATTATAAATCACAACTCACACTTCACACATCTTTCACTTTTGGTCTTGATCAAAGCTGAGATCGGAATTTTCAGTCGATTTCAAATACACACAAAAATGCATGTCAATGACATTTTTGATATCAACCATGAATATTCTGCATCTGGGATACGGAATAAAACGATCCTTTTAAAAATTGGAAACCAAGAAAGTTGAAAAACATAATGATGACTACTAAGATGTGCCTTTGATAATCGATTCTAACAGGGATCCGATTCTCGAATCTGTAGGAATTCGATCCTATAGGAGAATGATCCAATGCTTTCAGTTCTCATAGGAAATGATAATCTGTCATGGCACCTATTATTGAACCAGATGGAATCGATTTTCCCAGGGGATTGAAATGGTGCCGTGTGTCGCAGATAGATTCTTGAACTTACATGAATTCACCAATGAAATAAGTGGAATTTATGTTGGTAACTGGTGGATGATTGAAATGAAATGTTGACATTTTGATTTTGACAAATTTAAAGGTTATAATATAACATAATTCTGCTACCTATTGTGAGATTATTGTGTATTGTATATTTACTATATTTCCTCTGATCGAAATGGATAAGGATACAAACAATATTAAAAAACCACGAGGTGGTAGTATTAGCAAAGAGCAGACAAGACCTTTAATAGAAGGCCTCTGAGGACTTGAGGAAAGGAAAATTCCACCCCCAATTCACTTATAAGGATTCTAAAGTACCTATCAATTTTCTAGTAATGTCTTTGGACAAACGAAAAACTTTAATGAATTGTGCAGCAGACAAACACTCAAATGGCCCCTTCTTCTTAGTCTTCTAGCAAGGATTTCAGCCACTTCCAAATTTTGTAAAGCCTCTAGATGATCTATTTCATCTATGTTCGCCATGTTTTGCAATACATATGTTTTTCCGATTTTTCACTAGGGTTCAGTTCCCATCACAAATGAGAATAACTTCGTATTTCATGAGTGTATCCTATGGGAAACATGTTGTTCCCATGAGTATTACCATGGGAAGCAGTTCTCTTGAAATGTGTAGGAATAGTTTCCCATACAATAGTTCAAGAATACATCATCTGGAATTTCCATGGGAAATATCGAGTTTTTCCCATGGGAACGAATTCCAACGGATTCGAGAATCGGGCCCCAGGGATTTTCTTTTATATCATCGTCAAGCTTGATGAACTGTATTTTTGGAGCAAAAAGTGATACTTTCCTACATAATGCATGGCCCACTTTGTAGGTACTCAGAATTAGAATATTCAAAATTCATTTTAGCTATTGAAAAAAAGAATGCACTTAATTTGTCAACCATTGAATCAGACACTATGAGGACATTATTCAAAACCGTGGGAAAACGAAGTAAAATAATGGTTTCAAAATGCATTTTCTCATTTTCTTTTATTTCATTGATGTGCTAATTTAATTTTTCTGTGTGAACCCATATACCGGGTATTTATTTCATTGTAACTGAATCATTCATATGAAATATGAACATCCTGTGGTTCCTGTAAAGTTGTTTTGATTCACGAAAATACCCGTCATTTTTTTTTTCCCAAGAAAAATCAAGAATGAAATATTGTTTTCTAATATTATGTCTCAAAAAAGAAAAGCAATAGCCGCGTGATTAAAAATTAATTATAAATTACACACTTCATACTTAAGAATTAAATACACGTATCCACAAACGATCATAATTCACTTTTGGTCTTGACCAAATGTTCCAATTTGTAAATAATAACACTGAGATCGGAATTTTTCGCTAGTTTCAAATACACACAATTCCGTATATTGTGAAAGACCAACCACAAGGGCACCTCTTTGGCGATGGCTTTCAGATGGTCCTCCATCTCGGTTTTGGTCAAATGGACGCGATAACAATTTCCCAACTTTTCCACCACGACATCTAGCGGAAGAACGCTTTTTTTCTCGGAGACGAACAGATTTCGCGTTAGTCTAGCGATCTCCGGCAATCGGGAATAGATCAATACCTCTTTTTCCTTGTCGGCTGATCTGGTCATCGACATTAATGCTTTGGCAGCTTGTTTTTGCCTCACCTTTTCCAGCAAAGCGCTCGGAATTCCTGAAAAAAAAATTATAGACGGGCATGATATGATTTGTAAAATAGAATAGAATTTATACATGTATAATTGTAAATAAACAGAATTTTTTATTGAAATACATACTCATAAAATCACTGTGTGAACTGTGTGATGGTCATGTGTTATTTTTTTTAAATCGGCACTGAGATGCTCCTTAACGGATACAACAAGACCAGCAGACTCTGACGTAAACAGCTCGTGACGTCACCAAGAGAGGCCAGTGTTTTATTTTATCGCTTGTCGACTAACGCGTCAGTTTGTGTTAATTCATCGGTGATTCACGTATGTTTTTGAAACGGTCCCGAATTCTTTTGTTGTTTATTCATCAAAATAATTGGCGGAAAAATTACTGTTTTGTGAAATATTTTGTGTTGTGATCGGCGAAATAACAATGCCTTTCAAGTGTTTTGTTCCCTTTTGTCGGGGGAATTATGTGGGTGGTTCAAAAGTTCATGCTTTTAGTTTCCCGTTGGACGAGGAGCTATCGAAAATGTGGGTATATGCAATTCACCGCGAGGATTTTACTCCATCTAAGTTCAGTAGTAGACAGAGCTTAATTTATAATGATGAATTAATAATAGAAGATAATTACTCTCTCATAAAAAGTATAGGTAGAGGAAAAATAGAAAAGCTTTGATTGTGCAGTTAGTTTTGTATTCGTATACTATAGTCAACAAAATCATCTCTGAATTCGAGGAAATTTTCTTGAATGTTCATAATAAACGGGCATTTTTAATTCTCATTCTCAAATTTCTTTCTGAAAACGCTCATTTGCCTCGTGGCAATGAATGGCAATGAATGCAGAATTCATTCCAATGATCAAATTGCAACTATCATATTAACATGAACTACAAACACTCTACTTAAAAAGGTAAAACTGCATTTATCATGATATTTATCCTGAAGATATTTGACTAAAAAGTTCCAAATTTCACCTTCTCTTTCACCTGTCTTCTGGATGGCATTTAGAACAAATTTTCCTTCTTTTTTCATCATATTGGACAATTTATATATAATTCAACTATAAATATGATTTTCTTGAGATTAATCCATATTTAGTGAAAAGAAGGAAGAATATCATTCAAAATAATGGCGTGTGTAATGTCATTCGAAAGCAATCTATTGACATTTGACATCTCGTATTTTGATTGACTATTGATTAAATAGTCGTCATCTGGAATGCTTGTTCACTAAATATGAAAAACTCGCCATAAAAATCATATTTCCTGTTGAATTTTCTATATTAAAATGTGCCATCGAAGTACATCATGAGTATATAAAGTGTCCAATGACAAAATAAGAGCAAGTAGCTTCAAATGCCCCCAACACAAGGGGAGAAAGAAGGCGAAATTTCGAACTTTTTCTTGAAATATCTCAATAAATAGTGGTTTGTTCACATTTTCATTATAAAATTCGGATTATCAGACAAAAATACGTGAGTACCGAAAAAAAATTTCAAAAAAAAAACCATCGCATGATAAATGCAGTTTTACCCTTAAAAGTTACGGTTTCAAGTGTAACGATCCACTTGGGTGAAAAATCCAACAGAAAATTGAAAACACTCACTGGATATTTTTTCAGGTAATAGGAATTCTCCAAGATGAATATAGGTAATTGTAACAAACGGCATGTCAATCAAAATAAAATACATTTTCCACAATTTTCTTTCGATCAATCTCACGATAGGTTTATGTTCTGCGGGCCCTGTATAAGTAGGTGTGAAGTTTACCTTCACCACAATTTTTGCCAATATATTTAATTCGAATGGGTTGCTGTATAGGTGGATATTTGTGTTTTATCCTGGTTTTTGCTTTAAAACTTCGTTTTTCCATAATAAAATCGAATGGGGTGCGAAGAAGGGCTCAGTTGACGACTGGCATCCTTTTTTAGCCGGAAGCCCTTCAAAAAACAGCAAAATCGGCTCAATGATGATATAAAACTAAAATCGAAATACGCGGTCGCCTTATAGCGCTATAAGCGCTTGTCGTTTAGAGCCGCTGGTTAGGCCTCACTAAGTGACGTCACCCACGGAGCATGCAGGCCTTGTTGTATCGGTGGTAACGAGTAAAAGCTGTTGCTAACTAAAATATGTTTTATGGTTGTTTTGAATAGCTCAAATTTCATTTGTTTGATATTATCTGGTATCTTATTGAAAAGTCGTAGATTTGAGAGAGTTGCGTGCATATACAGTCGTATCCAATAAAATAGCGTACAAGTATTAAAAAGAGAGGATTTCTGGATCCTAGTTCAATCATTTAGCGTGGTACATATCCGTACGCTAAATGCCATTTTAGTTATGTGAGTAGACAAAGTACCTTTTAATACTGATACAGGTTTCGCTGGCACCTCCTTCTCCGCCTCCTCGGGCGCCTTGTTACCCTCTCTAGCCTCTCTGAGCCTCTGCAGCGCCTGCTCCATCCGCGTGTTGCAATTGAACATCTGCCGCGCCTTGTCCAGCACGTCTTTGCCGGTGGTCAGCTTTTCTTCTGCGGGAGACTGCGGCAGTTCTGAGCACTCGATTTCCGGCACCTTTTCACGAAAGGCTCACGTTACGATTTTTCGTTTTAAATGGTCACATATTCGCGAGATTCACGAAGTGGGCGACATCTCGGTTACATAATACGAACTTCAAACTGGGGGAAAACAAACTGTTGTCTATGGATAAAGTGCATAGACTACATTGCATTCAGCTTGCTGTAGCTGTAGTCAAACTTGTCAATGACATAAAGTGTTGGCACTGTTGGTAGTGATGATGGTTGAGTTGGTTAATTTTTTTACATTATAACATTTTTATTAGTTTAGTGAACAGTGAACGGGTGAAGAATTGGAGATAGCTGTTCTTTTATATGTCAATTTATTTGCTCGTCATAATCAGTTTGAATTGTTTGAACTAACAATACCCAGATTGTCCTGCTTCGCAGAAACAAATACAAATCCATTGTTCTAGAGGAGTTCCTCTGGACCCCAACTTCAATTTTACTTCATGTGGGAAAGATTTCATCGCCGAAGTTTGTAGACAAAGTGCAAAAATGTGCCTTTTGTTGAAGTCTTCTGCCTCACACAAAATCAATGATTAGCATGGAGAACTGCTTCTCCTCCTTCCACTACTGGTCGGCTTATCTTAATAGAGCAAAATATCTGCCAAAAGAACATCTACAATAGGCGTTTTCGGTCGAATATTGACAATTAATGTCAAGAAACTTAAATACTTATTACTCTTATCAGTACACAGTACGCAAGCTAATGGCACTAATGGGATTGAGTGAGGATGGAGTTTGTTTTCCCCAGTTTTGCCGTTGCTTTGACATGGAACGATGAAAACCGAGCGCCATCTGGTAACATTGATTCCCGCGAATACAAAAAACGTCAAAACAGCAGTGTCAAATACATTCAGGAACTCTATATAGATGGTATTAGTTAGATAAGAGTTCGGACACAAAAATGACAACTGTTAGTATTTTTGATGTTTAGATTCATTAAGTTACACACCTTGCATTGTGACAACAGCATCATAGTCGTTCCGCACTTTTTCATTCAAAATTGTTTCAATCTGACAATAAATTTCATGAACGTCAGATAGGAAATAATTGCGGGAATTCTGAAGGGAATGGCGATTTCATTTCATCAATTGTCCAAAGGAAATATCAACCATTCCCTTATGGAAGGAATGTATAAAACGACCCGGATGGAAAATTAATTTGAAGACAGGAAACATTTGTGAGGTGAGTATATACATACATAGAAATTCACTTCTTATAACAGCAGATTGGAATAAGATATTTAAGGCTAATTTTCAAACAGAAGATTTATATATAAGATGCGTTGTTCCATTGATATACAAAACAGACTATTATTCCAATATTATTATCAAACGAAATGTGAAACATGTTAGAGGAATTGCTTGCAAAAATATGTATAATGAAATTGAAAATTTGATAATGAAACTGTGGAAATCAAGTGAATTGCAACGTAACATAATATCATTGAATGGCGTTTTCAATACCGACCAAATTCAAAAAGTAAATGCAGCACAAGGTGAAAAATCAAAACAATCTTCATGTTTTGAACTTCATCACTCAGGTACAGTTTTACATACAATAATCTATGATTGATTTGACAGGAAATCTAACCTCTAAAATCGTATATGACAATCAGGCGATATCAGGGACATTGAAAGACAAAGAGCAGAATATATGTCTTATTCTTTTATTCACTCAGATCATTTCAATATAGAAAATAGAGAAGGACAGGAGTTCAGCTGTGTCCGAACTCTCATCAAACTAATAACATCCAGTGACTCTAGATAAAACTAGAGTCACTGGATGATTACGAAACGGCTGTCATGTCATCTTAATTTTTTATTTACTATCGATATTTAATTTGAACGAATAGAGTGTGGTTCATGATTCTGAATTTTGAACTACCCTGTGGCCTGTATTCGTCCGAATTAAATATCAGTAGATAGTGAATCAAAAGTGAAGATGGAGACATGTGAGTCGTTCTAATGAATAGTTTCGACACGAAAAAAAAAAAACTAAAGTTGAAAAATCTCGATTTTCAACTACCTATATATCTGTAATCTGTAATCATTTCCGCTAGACACCAAATGTGAAACATTGATTAAAGCAGCTCTTCAGGGAGAATCTAAAAATGCAATGAAGTACAGGGTGCTCCCTTCGAATATCGAGAGTTGATGCCCGTTTCGCTACAAGATTTCAACTTTGTAATATGATAATTGCAGAAAAATGTGTCCCCCGCCAAATTTAAATCGACCTATCCGAGCGATTTTCTATTTTTTTAACGACATCGGAGATTTGGGGGTGACAAGTTCTATCTGAGACACACTGTATATAATTTAACTGTTTATAGAATTCACATTTCAATAACCTTGTTCCACTCAATTTTCTATTGTACTGGAACCTGAATAGGAATATTTCATTGGGCTGAAAAATATAGGGTTTCTCATTGTTGAAGGTACCACAAATCACTCATAGAGAATAACATCAGAACTAGAGTTCACAAAAAATAGTTTTTCTTGTGAATAACTTGTATTAGTGAGCTGAGAGACTCCTACAATCAGATTTCAGAAAATATAAAACCATTTGAATAATACAACTTCCATAATGTTAATACTTCTAGATCTGAGTGATGGGACCATGTCCACAAAGCCATAAAAAATGCTTCTAGATTGGTAGAGGTTTTTAGGTTGGTACAGCTGTATTCAGAAAAAAAACCTAAAAGTATATTACAGAGATAAATTAACGTCATTCTATTTGCGGCTATCGGGAATGATTGTTTACCAAATGTTGACAGTAAAGTTGTCATAGGTTTTCAAAAACAGAAAGCAATGGATGAGCCAGTTTTATACAACTAGAGCTAGGATGCCGTAAACTTTTCAACACTCGTACGCTTTTTTACTGAATACGACTGTACTTGGATCGAAGTCCCCCATTGAAAACGAATGAATTTTCGTACCTTTTCAATATTGAACTCGGGATGCCAGCGTGTTATCTTGTCCTTATCGACGGTCATCGGAGGGCTCAGAGTCGCCAGGAATTCATGGTGGTACTTTTTCACTAGATCTAGCAGGGAGTTGTACAGGTGTCTTCTGCGTTTCAAGAGGATGTCGGAGTTCATGTGCTCTGCGTTGTCGATTTTCGGGTTAAGTACCAGTTCCCACTGTTGGATGTCAGTTTCGTTTTTATCGAAAAGGAATACTCTCAGATATAATTATGAACATCAAGAGAGTTTATTGTTAATTGTAATCGCCCACTTAAAACATTCCAACTAAGAAGACAGCATTGGAAGTCATATGGAAGCAATGATCTTTGCTTTCATTGGTTAATATCGGAGGAAGTATTACACTTGCCCACAAGGTTGAGTGGAAGAAAGCACTTCCTCGTTCCTTTCTTGTGGGAACGTTCTGCCATTTGATAGATAGACTTATTTTTTCCTCTTATGTATTTTTTTGTTCTTTCTGTCTATCAGTAAAAGCGTTTATTATTATTATTATTATTATTATTATCTCAAAAAATTCCGATTATTTTCAACACATTGAAATTTTACCATCACTTTGGATTAGGCGCCAAAACATTTATTATGTCAGTGTAAACATTCCTTCAGAAGAAACGCCACCTACTTTCTTCTTATTTGGAATGTATTATACAGGGTGATCCATGGTGGATGGCCTATTAGATGTATCTGGAGAACAAAAAGACAGAACATGCTGAAAACTGGAATGTTGTGATAATTGAACATTCTCTAACCGTCCAAAATAATTTCGTCGATACAGTGTTGCCACTTTTATCAGAACCAACTAGCAACTTTGTTATTTCAAATGAAACACCCTGTATTTTATTGCATTTTTAGATACTTCTTGAAGAGCTGAGTTCATCAATACATCACACTTGGGGTCTAGCAGGAATGATTACAGGGATATAGGGTGTTCAAAATCGAGATAATTCAATTTTAGGATTTTTTTGTGTCGAAACAATTCATCATCGATCAAAACGGCTTAATTGTCCCTATTTTAACTTTTGGTCCACTATCTACTGGAATTCATTTGGAAAAAATACAGCGTGCTTCACGATTCAGAATTCGGATCACCCTGTATCTGTTCCAATTGAATGTCAGTAGATAGCAGCGGTGGCTCCTCAGAGGAGGCAACGGAGGCTGAGCCTCCTCAGAGATGTTCCTCAAACTAATATTATCAATACTTTTTTATTAAAAGAACACCAAAATACATGGATTTTGATTTTATTTCCTGTTTTAGTTAAATATTTTTGAATTGGCAACAGTGCTTGCCCACGCATCACTAGTTGAAGTCTGCAAATCACGCGTAAAATATTCAACTTGGCAACATCTATAGGACAAATCATGATTTAAACCTTTCAACTTATTGCCCGTGTCTCAACCCATGGCATGATTGTTACTTATCCAGTGATGTTTGTTTAAATTGTATTGTTCGGTACTTATTATTTGTCTGATGATGGCCGTAGCGCCGAAACCGGTTACATATGTAAAATGTTAGCTACTACTATTATATGAAGTGTGGTCGACCGACTTTGAGCCCCTAGTTTTTTTCTTCTTGGACATCTATAGGAGGCTAGACTCCTACACATTTTGCAACCTACGCGCGCAATGCAAATGCCCGAATACGCCCGAATAGCACGTGTTTATCGTCTCGCTTCGCGAATTGCGGACAAACGCGAGTGCATTGTTTATGTTTATGTTAGGTTAATGGTTAGGGGCTCTATGAATTCCTGAAAAACGAGAATATTTTAAACGATTGCGATTTAGTGGAATACTTTTTGGTGAACCCATTCAGTGCTTTGTCTTATGAAAATAAATTGATTGTGAAAAACAAACGTCCGACACAGGAATTAAAAAATCTGATTGCAACAGGTAACAAACAGAATCGTTCGTTCAATTCTGATAATTATAAAAAATATTGGTACTGCGTATTATTTTCATCCGATAAGTCATCATGTTGGGTGCGATTAGGATATAATGATTTGAAAAATTTGCCTCGCTGATTGGATAGACACTGCAAATCACAGGAACACATCTCTTCAAGTATTGAGTTCAGGTTAACTGGTAAACAGAATGTCATCAAAGCTTTTGATTTGGGTGAGTCGTAGAGTTGTTTTTCACAATGAATCTCATATCATTCAGCTCCCTCTGTCATGAAAGTCACGAGCCGCCACTGGTAGATAGTGAATCGAAAGTTAAGATAGGGACATGTAAGCCGTTTTGATCGATGATGAATTGTTTCGACACAGAAAAATCCTGAAATTGAAAATAATTGCGATTTTGAACACCCTATTTCTGTAATTAATCCTGCTGGACCCCAAGTGTGATACATTGATGAAATCAGCTCTTCAGGAAGAATCTGAAAATTCAATAATATACAGGATGCTCCATTCGAAATAACGAAGTTGCTAGTTGTTTCTGATAGAAGTGGCAACACTGTATCGATGAAAATATTTTAGACGAATAGAGAATGTTCAATTATCAAAGCATTAGAATGGCCTGTCTTGTCGTTCTCCAGATACTTCTAACAGGCCATCCACCGTGGTTCACCCTGTATAGTTTGCTTTCTACCCCTAACACGCCCAATGTTCCTTCTCGGATACTCTCGATGAAAAAATAACGTTAACACCCTTGTACAGGGTGGCCAACTAAGAATCCAGAGTTCGATACCTCTGTTGTCTTGAGCGATACAAAAAAAAGTTTTGCATTCAAATTAAAGTGATAACCGAGCTTCACATTTCAAAATTTCTTTGAAATACACAGGGTGTTCCGTAAGGTCACAGCACATCAAAGCTATGTTTTTTTTCATTGGAACACCCTATATTTTATTTCATTTTTGAATTCTCCCTGAAGATCTGATTTCTACGACGTATCATAGTTAGGGTCTAGCAGTGAAAGTTACTGACATATAGGGTGTGCAAAATTGAACTGTTCATTATTCGTCAAAACGGTTTACATGTCCCTATCTCAACTTTTCACCCACTATCAATTGGTGTTCAATTGACATTTAATTGAAACAAATTTAGATTTTTTGACCTCCTTGTATCAATTTCAATTGAACACCAAATGATAGTGAATGAAAAGTTGAGATAGGGACATGTAAACCGTTTTGACGAATAATGAACAGTTTCGATAGAAAAAATCATGAACTTGGAAAATCTCGATTTTGCACACCCTATACCGGGTGACACAGGGTATCGGGCCACCCCTGTAACTTCTGCATTCGTCAACGGATTTTTCTGAAATTCGGTACAGTTATATAAGCAATTATTTCGGATTTCATCACATTACAATTCAATATGGCGGACTTCCGGTATTTCTGGAAATGCCAGCAACTTTGTTTTTTCAAATGAAACACCCTGTATATTTTTACATATTCAAGTTCAACAGGTCGAAACAAGTGCAATCTCTATTTCAAATGTAATTTTTTCTAAAAACTTTAAATTAAAATTGTTTTTTCATTTTACCTCGTGGATAAATGAGATATGGTCAAGACTATTCACAATGAGTCACACATAACAGAAGAACATAACTTTTTCTGAAAAATTATTTTTTTTTCAAATGGAACCCCTATGGGCCACCTACCCGTCTCTCTAGAACATACATTAAGGAACAAAATGACATATCATTTTTGTTTTCCGGTGCAGTAAGAAATTGTTACTTTGAAAAATAAACAACTAGTTTATGAATTTCCTTGCAGTTAGAATAATTTTTCAACTAGGTAGGCTGTGGAATAAATGACATTTGACATCAAGATTGCACTTGTTTTGACTTGTTGAACTTGAATATGTAAAAACATATAGGGTGTCCCATTTGAAAAAACAAAATTGCTGGCATTTCCAGAAAAACCGGAAGTCCGCCATATTGGATTGTAATGTGATGAAACCCGAAATAGTTGCTTATATAACTGTAAAGAATTTCAGAAAAATCCGTTGACCAATGCAGAAGTTACAGGGGTGGCCCGATAACCTGTGTCACCCGGTATGTCAATAACTTTCACTGCTAGACCCTGAGTATGATGGATCGTTGAAATCAGATCTTCAGGGAGAATTCGAAAATGAAATAAAATATAGGGTGTTCCAATGAAAAAAACATAGCTTTGATATGCTGTGACCTTACGGAACACCCTGTGTATTTTAAAGAAATTTTTAAATGTGAAGCTCTGTTATTACTTCAATTTTGATACATGAATTTTTTTTGTATTTCTCAAGACAACAGAGAAATCGAACTCTGGAGTCTTAGTTGGCAATCCTGTACATAATGTTTGCCTATCAAACGCCAACTACCTGTTCTTGTTTCATCCCAGTGCCGAAGACTTTCAATTTCTCCTGAGAAAACTCGAAAGCCTCAGGATAAATGTGTTTGATTTGAGAGAGATGTTTCTCCATCAAATTCCTCTTGAGCATTTCCTCCACTGCCGGTTTCAACTTTCTGAACGTTATGGTCTCCTTTCTGTTATACAATATCTGACTGACCACGTCTATGCAACGGAAAATCTCGGCCAAATATCGGTATCGGTAGGGCAGAGTCAAAGCGGGTTTGGCAGTTTCCAGCAGGATCTTTTTCGAAGGGCTGTCTGGCAACGTTGCCAACGTGTTTTTGGTGGGGCTCAACAAGTGGATCAGATTTCTGCGGGCGCTACTGTCTTTTCTCGGGCTCAGGTATGATTTGTCAGGTGAAAACACCTTTTGAGGGCTAAAATAACATAACTATCGAAATTAGGAAATACATTCACAATACATTCACCAGCAAGAGAAACCGGCAAGAAAAAAAGTATTCGAATTGATCACCCTGTAACTTTTTTAACCCTCTCATGCATAATGCCTACTGTAGGCCAAGCTTGTAAGAAATGGAAGAAGAGACAGAGAGAGAAACAATATTTTTTCTGTGACGGGAAAAAAGTTTGGCATTTCATCTCTGTTGGCAGGTTATAAAATGTCACTTTTCATAAATTACTTTTTTCCCGTGGGAAAAAAGTGAGTACTTTTTTCCCGGATATATATCACATATATATACTCTGTTAATGGCTTTTGTTGTGCTATAGTTCCGAAAAATGAGTCAATAATACCGTCTCCGAGAAAGAACTGCAAGTCCTTTTATCTTCCATTCGACTTCGCGGTTTCGTATATTACTAAACAACTACTGAATTCGCAATTTTTCAAAATCAAATCACAGAATTGAACTGAAAGAAGTGACATCAGATATTTGATAACTTCAAAAGAATGATAAAGATGCCTATAAAACGCAGGTGTCCCTACTGTTAAAAACTTGAAATTTCACGTCGATAATTTTCAGATTTCGAAATAATGTACTATCTTTTCAATATTGATTCGTCCTTCCTTCTGTCACAGAAAAAAATAGTGTATTATACACGGGAAAAATATTAGATTTTAGCTCACGGAATCATAATCCCCGATCACAAAAGCCCCTAGGTACCAATTTTGAAAAGAATCGGATTATAATTACAAAACTCGTCCGCCATATTGGTTCCGCCATCTTGAATTTCCAAATTCCGCTCAAATTTTAAAATTCTGACGAAAAAATCATAATCTCCAACCCCGAAAACCCCCCGATACCAATTTTAGATAGAATCGGACCATAATTACAAAACTCGTCCGATATATTAGATCCGCCATCTTGAATCGAATTTCCTAATGGTACCGGGATAAAAAGTATCCTATGACCCTCTCCTGGTTCGTTAGTATCGATGAATCCAATAGAATATAGAGAGATAAAAAAATGAAAAAAAAACAATTTATACAGGTAATTACAAAATATTAGTCTTCCTGTTGCAGCTGGATTAATCCTTGGTAGATGGTGGTTTCTGGATATTACTGGGGTGGAAATGATTTGTGGTGAAATGATAGGGATGTTGTTGGTAGATTTCGCAAACGTTTTGCTGAGTCGGTGGAAACGCCGAAGTATTGGTTCCACTTTCGTTGAATTATAAATTAAGGTATTGGAAGGGTTGTGTAGGGCGTTGTCCGGATGATGAATTTTCATTTGTAATGCCACTAGAGGTCAAATTATTTCCGGAAATTATTTCGAGCTCATGGATATTTTGAAAATTATTCCGAGTCGAAGACTTCATGTGCACATAATTTCTACTATTCCTTCTCCAAATTCTCCTTTTCGAACCTCCGTGGATTTCTGATGAAGGTCAGTCTGCCCGTCCACCTTAGTAATTTGATGTGAATTTGATCTTCCGTTGAAGCGTATCAGTACCAGAGATTTCGAATTTTTAGCCTTTCATACCGTCTTACACTGGCCCAGGTAGTGGTATGACATTCTATATAATAGATGCAGTTAGGGCATCAACCTAATAATTGTTGATTAAAACGTCATAAAAAAATTTCCGATTCCATATGCTGGTGGGTACCCAAGAGAATAAAATTTCCACTAAAATACATACATACGTTGCTATGGTAATTTGTCATTAAAACCCAATTTAACTGTATAAAAATCACTGGTGTGGAATTTTCGTAAGAATTCTAAAGCAACATCTTTCTGCTACTTCTAGATTTATTAATGTTGTTTTCCTACAGGTGCTGAATAAAATGAATCCATATTCGATGAGGGAGTCGGCATATGGTCTGGTAAATCAGCCTAGCTGTCCTGGTGTTGATACCTTCATTTTGACATGTCAATCCACGAAAATATACAGAGTAGTGCACAAAAAACGGCCAGGACTGTAACTCTTGCATTATTTGAGATAGGGTTTTGAAAATTGGTGGGCAGCTAGTATACCAAATTGCTCATTAATTGACGAAACAATTTTTGTTCTATCACTTCCGAATTCACTGGAAACGACCCCAACTTTTGATCTTCGAATGGGACACCCTGTATTGAATTCCATAATCGGTTAGGGATTGTCATCACGAATTCATCGATACCGAGTTTGATAGGGTTATTTCAAACGATTACGCAGATATTCGCGTTCTGAGTTTCCATATGCTCAATGAGTGTGACAGAGAAAGAAGTTTTGATATTGCGAAGTCACACCCATTGAGCATATGGAAACTTCGAACGCAAATATCTTTGTTATCGTTGTAATAGCCCTATCGTTGAATTCGTCATGATAATCCCTAACCGATTATGGAATACAATACAGGGTGTCCCATTAAAAAATCGAAAGTTGGGGTCGTTTCCGGTGAAACTGGAAGTGATAAAAGAAAAGTTATTTCATCAATTAATGAGCAATTTGGTATATTTGCTACCCACCGATTCTCAAAACCCTATCTCGAATAATTCGAAAGTTATAGTCCTGGCCGTTTTTTGTGCACTTCTCTGTATAGCTCTAGCAAGCAATGGAAAAATACCATGTTTTATCAAAAACCGATCATAAACTATTTATGGTTGGCAATATTTGACATATTTTGACATGTCTCCAGTGTTACCACCTTCTGGGAAAAAAATTCGAGGTTCATTCTATATGTTGAATCATATTTGCACTAATCTAAAATGGTTGCTGAAGACTTCAGAACAATTTATGGAGGCGCTAGAAAAAAATTAATAAACCGACATCTTGATTATCTTAACCTATAATTAGCAATGCAAATATATAATAACAAAATATTTCATTGTGCCACAGTCAACTCACCCAACCTAGTGGACGCCGAGCATTTCATTACCTGATTATTTTACTTTTCGTTTTCAGACTGTTCTTTTTGATGATAAATTGATGATTTCCAAGCAATTTTCGAAATCCCAGAGGATTCAGAATATACAGGGTGGGCCACCAGTAACGCCTCGGTCTCTAGAAGGCTAACCACTTATCTTCTTGGAATTCTTCCTCCCTAGGAAGTTGCATGTCAACATAGGCTACCATTTAAAATTATTTCGAAACATACAGGGTGTCCCCAAAAACCATAAAACACTGAAGTTAAACTTTTTTCTATCGAACACCCTATATATTATTTCATTTTGAGATTCTCCCTGATGAGCTGATTTCAACGACCCATCATACTTGGGGTCTAGCAGTTATAATTACTGAAATATAGGGTGTGAAAAATCGAGATTTTACAAGTTCAAGAATTTTTTGTGTCGAAACTATTCATAATTGGTCAAAACGACTTACATGTCCCTATCTCAACTTTTGATCAACTATCTACTGATATTTAATTGGGACATATACCGGGTGATCAAGATTCTGAATTCTGCACCACTCTGTATTTGTTTCAATTAAATGTCAGTAGATAGTTGATCAAAAGTTGAGATAGGGACATGTGAGCGGTTTTGACCAATTATGAATGGTTTAGACACAAAAAATTCTTGAACTTGGAAAATCTCGATTTCTCACACCCTATATCTCAGTAATTATAACTGCTAGACCCCAAGTATGATGGATTGTTGAAATCAGCTCACCAGGGAGAATCTCAAAATGAAATAATATATAGGGTGTCCGATTGAAAAAAGTTCAACTTTAGTATTTTGCGGTTTTTGGGGACACCCTGTATGTTTTGAAATAATTTCAAATGGTAGCCTATGTTGACATGCAACTTCCTAGAGAGGAAGAATTCCAAGAAGATAAGTGGTTAGCCTTCTAGAGACCGAGGCGTTACTGGTGGCCCACCCTGTATAATTGTTTTGTATTCCTTTCCAGAAACTAAGTCCGGTCCTGAATTTTTTATTGGATAATACCTTTTCTCAACTCTCTGCTGCTATATCAATAATATGCAAAAACATTGATTTGAATACTTTTGGTCGAATGTAGAGAGTGGGTAATATGCCAGGACCAAATCAGAATTTTGTTTGATATTTTTTTACCCAACCAGCAAAGTGTGCCGTACAAATTGAAGAGCCACACTTTTAGCGTTTTTTCTGATTTTTCTGAGTGGGATAATAGCTTTTGAAGAAATGGATCCAGAAGGTCAAAATTTTGACATCTGAAAAGGAAATGATCGTTTTCCAAGTCCGGCTCTGGAATTTTTTGTGATAACATAGGCGTTCCTCAAATATCGTTCATCAAAGTTTCCGTCTGAATTCAAATAATGCCCTGTATTTCTGTTACTAATAGTCAAAATATATTTCTTCACATATACGATATTAACTCACCTTGATTTCCTCCAACCACCATTAGGCTATGGCTGGTTAGTCATGACTCACCCTGTATACAGTGTGACCCATTAAAGATGGAAGCACACTTATAAAACTTACATTTTTCAACCGATTGGAATGATTTTTTTTTGTTAGGTAGATATTCAAAAAGTCTATTAGGACACCAAATATCATGAATAAATCTCCATTTCCAGGGCCAACTAATCTGATTTTTCAAGGTCAAAAACCTAAAAAAAATTACTAGCGATTTTTTTAGAAAAAAATCTGACTACACCACTGGATTTGTGACATTTTCAAATAGGTAACATGTAAATTACGTTGAAATGCGTCAATCAATAAAAAAGTTATGAAGGAATGAAATTTGAAAAATATGCCATTCAATCAACCCATCAATTTTTATTACTGAACAGATTTTGATGAAACTGTGATCAGTAATATTTCAAGACATCCTGAATCCAGTGGAGTATACAGAATTTCATAAAATTCCTGAACATGAATTGGTGGGTTGATTAAACGGCATATTTTTCAAATTTCATTCCTTTATAACTTTTTTATTGATTGACGCATTTCAACGTAATTCACATGTTACCCATTTGAAAATGTCACAAATCCAGTGGTGTAGTCAGATTTTTTCTAAAAAAAATCGCTAGTAATTTTTTTTAGGTTTTTGACCTTGAAAAATCAGATTAGTTGGCCCTGGAAATGGAGATTTATTCATGATATTTGGTATCCTAATAGACTTTTTGAATATCTACCTAACAAAAAAAAAATCATTCCAATCGGTTGAAAAATGTAAGTTTTATAAGGGTGCTTCCATCTTAAATGGGTCACACTGTATGTGAAAGGTGTAATGAACCTTGCTGTCCTGATTGTTTCCAAAATTTCCATATCAGTCAGAGATGAACTGTCATGATGGAAAATGCATAATGTCCACTAGAGTGGACATTTAGTTTTTTTGGATAAAAATCCAGGAGTTTTGTCCATATTTTATATTGTCAATTTATTACCATACCACTATGAATAATTTAATAATTGTCAAAATCAGTTTTAATTTTTTGAATTGAATTATGCAGGAGAGGGTCAATTTGAGGGTTAATTCTTGTCAGATTTGGGGGAAAATTTGTCTTTCTCTTGAAACACTTTTATATTCACTTGAAGAAAAAATGTTGACATGAATTAAAAATCATGTAAATTATTGTGTTAAGGAGGTATCACACTTCAATCAAAAACCACTCACTTTTGTCACAGGGTGATAAGAAGTTAAGGGGGAAAGAGTAACTTTTGTTTTTTCTCCTTTTTAATGATCAAGCCATCAGCTTTTCTTGGGAACTTGAATTCATGCTAACATTCCCAAAAATAAATCTAGGATTTGGTTGAAATTTCACCAGGATCGGACAAGAATTAAAAAGTTACAGGGCGATCAATTTGACTAATTTTTTCTGACCGACTTTTTTTGCTGGAAGTTTCTGTGTTTATTCCATGTACACATCAGAAGAATTTTTGGTACAAGCAGTAAGGAAATGAGGAGAAATGCAGGAAAAAATGAAAGATTTGGAGGAATTAATAGAAAATGTGAGGAAATTAATAGAAATGAGAAAGAATAAGAGGAAATTGAAGAAAATGAAAACAAATGGTAGGAGATATAAGAAATGGGAGGACTTGAAGGATATAAATGGAAAAAATTGATGAAATGCATGGCAAATGAAAGAAATGAATGAGAAAAGAAAGTATATGAATGAAAAAAATGAATCAAAAGGAAATGACCTAAAAAACTATTGCATTATGAGAAATTCATTTGTATTTTAGAAAATAGGAGGAAATGAAAAGAATTTGATGGAATCAATGAAGGAATAAAAATGTCAACCTCTTGCTTGTTTCTCTTCACACTTTCACATGTTTTAAAGAAATTTATCTATTCTAGTTTTGATGAACTGATGGGTACAATTATTTTATCATCAAATGCTTGTCAATAGTAATCCATTCTATTTCAATGATTAAGATCTAAATTGAAAAATTTGTAATTTTGGAAAGTCTAATCAATTTCCATGCAATTTGATCTGCTGAGAATGCTGACATTGCTGATGCATTATTGATTTGTATAAATAATAAAAAAAAATGCTAATGCATGAATATGAAAGTTATGCATACTGCAAAAATAGTATCAGCATTCCAAATCTACTCATGTAATAAATGAAACAATAAGTAGGTTACTTGAAGAAAAATATTTTGATATTATCATTAGATTGACCTGCATATTGAAAATTGAGCTACCTACTTATTAACAGTATGTGTAAATTTTTCTTACCTAGTTTGTACTTCCAATTCAATGGTTTTGAAATTTCTCAGTTTAGGTGATTCTGGAATTTGGGATGTCTTTTTCTCCACTTGCACAAGTTTATCAGCATTACTTTGGAATCTACTGATAGAAGCCTTCAAGTCAGCTAATCGAGCACTTCTAGTCATTTTTTTCTTGATTTCTTTGATAGAAGGCCCATCTGGTTTCTCTTTCACCTTATCCAATGCATTTGATACTTTGTTAGGAGTATTTGGAGGTGTTACATGTCTCTCAATAATATGTGTAGTACTTGAAATATCTTCACTTTTAGGTAAAATAGAACTATCATTTCCTTTCCCCATGTTACTAAGTAACTGTTGTATGTCCATATTGTAGTTGGAGTTCTTGGCAAGTTTAGTTTTTGGAGCTGATTTTTTAGTCCCAGATTTTTGCATTTTATTTTGCTCCAGAGTTTTCCCAACTGAGAGGATTATTCTGCTCTTCTCCTTATTTTGAAACTTGTCGTTTGAGCCAGAGGAAAATTCATCTTTGGTGAAAGCAACTGATGAGGAGCATAAGGCACTCACATTTTCAGATTCAACTGTTTGCTTATCAAATCCAGGATCATTATCGAGCACTAAAACTTTTTTTGCGCGATTCAATTTTAGATCATCGATCGCTGACCTTTTCCTCGAACCGAAATAACAAGCTACTGATGGCTGGCTCATATTCACTTGAAATTTTCACAAATATAAACAAATTTAAAGGGTTTAAATGGCTACTCCTACTACACGTTTGACTGACACACAAAACAGAGGTTAACGTCTTCCTTCACTTCAGTTAATAAATTCATTTTCCCTCCAATTTTGAATTTGTTTGACATGCGCACAAAAGGCTGTCTACTGTCAAGGTCTACTGTAGCAGAAAGGTGGGAGCAGATGTCAGGCCTGTTCGTTTGTATTGCTAAAGTTGATTCCCATTGTTGTCTCTCTTCATTGTCAGGCCTGTTCGTTTGTATTGCTAAAGTTGATTTGATTCCCATTGTTGTCTCTCTTCATTGCATAATGTAAACAGAGAGAGTCATAGAAAAAAATCAAGTTTAGCAGGTAGAGCAAGCACAAACGAACAGGCCTGTCAAGTACATAGCGGAACCATTTGATTGGCTTAAGGTGAGACAAGTCGGAATTCCGATAAATACGACATTTCTTCTTCTTTTTTGAATGAAGAATAGTAGCAGTTCATCTAAGAGCAGTTCAGTGGTTGGGAACACTGAGTTGTTGACATGTGACATTGACATATTCTCAATTGACATATGGTTGACATTAATGACATTGCGTTGTGATGACATTTCTGATAATAAATAAAAACAATAATAATTAACATTAATAAATAATTAATTATTATCGGATTATCGCTTTAAAAAATTATTTATCGATGAACTACGTGTCACCTGATGACAAAATATGACTGGTCACACGGTCACAGTATATTTTGGTATATTTCTTTTTCAGAGTCAAAACTTTTAGCAATCTGGCTTGCTCACATGAAAATCTGAAGTATTTCCAGAATTTTTGAAATGTTGAGCATAGAGTTCACTCATTCAACACAAATGCACCGTTATTTCCAATATATCATACCTCTATGATTAAGATCTATCCATTGTCAAAATGGCAACAGGTTCAGAGTCTCAACAAAATGAAAAATTTGAATTCATAAACAAGGATGTGAGTTACAGTGATATAGCTGAGAAATTATTGAATGATAGACTACTGCTCACTGCTCTGGAATTTCATTCCGAGTTATTAGAATCTGGAAAGGAAATAAGACAACTAAAAAACTTCTTTTCTAATCCAAAAAATTTTGAAATACAAACACAAGAATTTTCTACTCAATTATGTAAGTATAAACTCTCCTCAATAGTACCATTACAGGATTGTTCACATCTGAATATATTTTTCAGCAAGGTCTGGAAGTCAGGTTACTTTAGACAGTTTAGATTTAACCAGATATTCAGAGGATGGGGCAGGAACAGATGAAAGAGTTGCCATTCTAGAATTTGAACTTCGAAAAGCAAAAGAGACAATAAATGCCCTCAGGAATAACCTCACAGTTGCTACAGGTAGATCATCTGAGTAAAGTTGGTGATAGTATAATAATAATAAGCAGCTTCAAATATTATTTTGATTACACAGTGAACATTCATAAGTTATAAGACTGGTAGAATATTGGTCCAAGTCCAAGCTATTGTACTTTTTGCTCTTTATATACAATGTTTTCACAGTTTTCAGTTTCAATTCAATGTCTTGCAAATAGTTTTTCCCATTTTTGGAGTAGCCTAAATGAAAGTTTGGGAGTTTCATTCCTTTGATTTTCCATTTGCTCAAAAATGGATGGGATTCAACATTAAAATTCATTGTTCACATACTTTTTTACAGAGATTGACATAACTGCTCCTAATGCCAGCAAAGATAACATGAGAAATACAAATGCTAGTGGTATAAAACCACATGAACAGAGAGCTCTGAATTTTCTAATCAATGAATATCTCTTGATACATGGTTATAAGTTGACATCAATAACATTTGCTGATGAGAATCCAAACCAGGTAAGAAATTATTGAAATTTCAAGAAAAATTGATCATAAATAAACAAGGAGGTCCTGGAACTCTACTATTTCCTACTTAATTTCATAATGTCTTGGGGGAAGAAAAATTTAATGTTAATATAATATAATAATTAATATAATATAATTTTTTGTTATACATGGGTATGAACAGGTATTGATACTTGTAGTCATGATGACTGATATTTTGTTTCCTTATTATCATGGCCTACCACATGTGAAAATGTTTTTACTGTTTTTTGCATGGTTTCATGTGAAAATTGAACAAATAACATCCCAACAGAATAGGCTCTGTTATAAGGAAGTACATAATTATATACCTATAGGTAAATATATCATCATTCAAAATATATCAACAACTGTAAAATGGCAAACAAAGAATTTCATATCAGAAAATAACAAAACATATCTAACTCAAATGAAAACCAATCAAAATGAAACAGAGAAATACTTTCAAAATTCAATTCCTAACCAAATATTATCTGAATAATGAAAAAATAACTTTGTTAATCAGTAAAATATTTCTTCTAGTAATCAGTGATATAGATGTTGCATGACATACATGTTTACAAATAGAAAAAGAAAATAGATAATCATATTAAAAGAGAAATACTATATGAATTAGCATTAACTATCAAACTGAAAACAACCAATACTCATGAACAGGACAGCATATTTCTGAAACACACAAGTGAAAGGGAAATAACAGAACTAATCAGGGATTTGGACCCAAATAAAGCCACTGGCTATGATTTAGTTTAGGTAAAAACTGTCAAAACATGCATGAAGGAGGTTACTCCAATTCTTACAAAAATAATTAACAAATCCTTGGAATACCGGAATTTTCCATCCATGATGAAAATTGCAAGAGAGTCACCATTATTTAAAGAGGGGGAGAAAACAAGTTGTAATAACTATAGACCTGTATCAATTGTGTCTGTGTTCTGGAAGATAATGGAGAAGGTAATTAATAATCGCCTCTTGAATTTTTTAAACAAAAAAAATTTATTTTATGAACATCAATATGGCTTCTGCAAGTCCAGTGACACAGGGTCGGCAGTAATAGATTTAGTCACTGAGATACAACAAAACACCAATAATCATGATAAAACTGGCCTGGTGTACCTTGACCTGAGGAAGGCGTTTGACACAGCTGATCACCATATTCCATTGTCCAAATTAAAAAGGTCAGGTATCAGAGGCATAGTTTTGAAATTGTTCAAAGAGTACCTCTCAGGCAGACTACAACATGTAGCAATTGATGGTGTAGCTAGTACTAATCAAACAATAACATGTGGTGTCCCTCAGGGCACAATATTAGGACCAACATTATTCCTGATTTATGTCAATTCAATGTCAAACCTGCGCCTCCGAGGGAAAATAAAATTGTATGCTGATGATACCATACTACTTTATTCAGGTAGATCTATAGAACAAATAAGAGAGGACATGATGCTTGATCTCCTACTTGTTGAAAAATGGCTTGCAAGTCACAAATTGACTTTAAATACCGAGAAGTCACGTTTCATGTTTGTCTCTAACAATAAAATCAATTCAACTGAACCTCTTATCTTTGGCACTAACCAAATCAAATATACCTGTGAAATAAAATATCAAGGTCTATACATCGACTCAACACTGTCATGGAGTAATCACATGAATCGTTTGACCAAAAAGATTAGTACCCCAATTGGCATCTTGAAGCGTCTGTCATGGTATGTTCCAAGATTTTTACTAAGATCAGTGTATTACTCTCTGATACACTGCCACCTTCAATATCTGGTAATGAGTTGGTTTCCAGCCTGTAATAAATTGGTGAAACAAGTGAAGACACTCCAAAATAAAGCCATCAAAAATATATACTCACTGCCCTATAGATATAGTACAGTTAATCTTTATCAAAATTCCAATATTGTAAGTTTAGATAATATGTATGAACTCCAAATAGCCAATCACATTCATCAAACCATTAACGGTCAAAAATTTTCAAATCTGTCATTTACGACATGTGATATAGTTTATACTCATACAATACACGCAATAGCAAGAAGTTATTCTTACCCAATGCATCTATGGAAGCCTATAAAAAATCCATTTGCTTCAAAGGTGTTCAAATATACAGAGTGGGCCTTTGAAAACGAAACAGAGGCTCTGTAGGTCGCCAAAACCGGATTATGAAAAGAATCTGAAACACGTCATCTACATTTTCGAGGGGGACATCGTCCTACAATATTTTCAGCCCTGCGGCGTTGCCGCTGCTAACGAAAAGAAGCAACAACTTTGTTATTTCATATGGAACACCTTGTATTTTATTGCATTTTTAGATTCTCCCCGAAGAGCTGATTTCATGAATGCATCACACTTGGGGTCTAGCTGTAATGGTTTCAGGGATATAAAGTGTTCAAAATCGAGATTTTTCAACTTTAACATTTTTTTGTGTCGAAACTAATCATTGTTGGTCAAAACGACTCCCATGTCCCTATCTCAACTTGTGATTCACTATCTACTAACATTTAATTGAAACAGATACAGGGTGATCAGAATTCTGAATCTTGAACCACCCTGTATTTGTTTCAAATAAATGTCAGTAGATAGTAAATCACAAGTTGAGATAGGGACATGAGAGCCGTTTTGACCAATAATGAATAGTTTCGACACAAAAAAATTTTAAAGTTGAAAAATCTCGATTTTGAACACTTTATATCCCTGAAACCATTACAGCTAGACCCCAAGTGTGATGCATTGATCAATTCAGCTCTTCGGAGAGAATCTAAGAATGCAATAAAATACAAGGTGTTCCATTTGAAATAACAAAGTTGTTGCTTCTTTTCTTTAGAAGCGGCAACGCCGCAGGGCTGAAAATATTTTAGAAAGATGTCCCCCTCGAAAATGTAGTTGACCTGTTTCAGTTTTTTTTTGTTAATCCGGTTTTGGCGACCTACAGAGCCTCTGTTTCGTTTTCAAAGGCCCACTCTGTATAATCAACTTCCTGTTGAAATAAGAGAATGTAACAGCAAATTATTTAATAAAAAACTGAAAAAATACCTTATGAGTAAATAGACACTTTGAATTAGCTACATTTGTAATCTTTCCAAGAATTTTTGTAAAAACGCAAAGTAATGATAGGTAGTGACAAATTCTGTGATATAATTAGGCTATTAATAATACTACGCAACCAATGTACCTGACAAAATGTACTCTATAATTCTAATGATTCCATTTTTTTATGACATGTTTTTTTAGAGTAAGGACCTCTATGAAAATGTAATTTTCCGTGGTTCAATAAAGACTTCTTCTTCTTCTCATCATGTGATAATCATTCAGAAATTGAATAATTTTAAATACTCAAAACTACTATTGCATTAGAAATTTGAAATAATGAATACTTTGTGAAAATAAAGACTAATTATTTATCACTA